TTGGTTTTGTTAATTCTGTTTATTGTTTTCCTATTTTCTATTTCGCTCAGACAGTAAAGAATCATCCTGCAGTGCAGGAGACCCAGGTTCAAACCCTGGGTCGGGAAGATCCCCTGGAGAAGGAAATAGCAACTCACTTCAGTATTCTTCCCTTGAAAATCCCATGGATGGAGGAGACTGGCAGACTACAGTTCATGGGGTCGCAAAGATTGGACACGACCGAGCGACTTCACTTCACTATTTTCTATTTCATTTATCTTTGCTGTAATCTGCACTATTTCCCTCCTTCTGCTAGTTTTGGGTTGATTTTGCTCTTCTTTCTCTTAGTTCTTAAAGTGTAGGACTAGGTTATTGATTTGCGATCTTCCTTCTTTTTTAGAGTATTTGTTTACAGCTATAAATTTCCTTCTGGGTACTGCTTTCATTGCATCCCATCAGTTTTAGTATGTTGTGTTTTTGTTCTCATTTCATTTCAAAGCATTTTTTAATTTCTCATGTGGTTTCTTGACCCACTGGTTGAGTGTATTATTTCTACGTATTCATCTATTTCCCAAATTTCCTTCTGTTATTGACTAATTTCATTCCATTGTGGCTGAAGAACATATTTTGTATATTTTCAATCCTTATAAATTTACTGAGATTCTTGTATGATGTAATATTTGGTCTACACTGGAGAATGTTCCACATGCATTTGAGAAGAATATATATTCTGTATTCTGTAAATGTCTGTTAGGTCTAGTTGGTTTATATTGTTGTTCAAGTCACATTTCTTTGCTGATCTTTTGTTTAGTTGTTCTATTCATTATTAAAAGGGGAGATTTGCATTTCTATTGCCTATTATATACTTTTATTTAAAGATGAGAAAGTTGGCTGTTTAATTCCATTTACACATAGTCCAAAATAGGTAACAATAACTGAGGGCAGGGATTAGCAAAGCTTTTCTTGGGGCCAGATAGTCAATTCTGGGCTTTGAGAGCCATGTGGTTTCTGTTGCAACTACTCACCTCGTTGTTGCATAAAAGCAGTCACAGACAGTAATTGCTGCGCTCAAATACTCTCTTGCCTTTCTTTCTTCTGGGACAAAGAAATGAATACAGTATTTGCTTTATAAACTGTGATGCCTCTCATACAAATGACAAAAAGCATTTTAAAGGGTTTTTTGATAGAGAATTACTGTAAACAAATTAATACAAGCACTTAACAGTCAGAATAAAGAAATAGGTGAGTTCCACAGGGTATTTATTAAATAGGGGCTTAGTGAGTAATTGTGTGAGCAATGGAAATATTAACTTGCTTAACTGCCTGAACTTTTGTTCTGCTGAGTGCATTTGCATATCTTGCCTTTCTAAAGAAAGGCAGCATACTTTATATATTTATGAGCTCTCTGCTTATTCATCTGTATCATCCCTAACAGTTGTCACAGGGCCATGCATAAAGAAGGATTGGAAAAGTATGCATTCAAATCAGGGATCACAAGCAAATAGCTTGTGGGTTAGACATGTTTTGTTTGGCCATTACCATGTTTTTTAAACTGAAGTGGAGGACTGTTAGGCAGGGCCTGAATTCTCCAGTTCACCACAGATCCTACTATTGAATACCACTTGCTGTTTTCTCTTCCTACACAGTGAGAGCATTTTTATTTGTGCCCCATTTGTTAAATGAAAGGAAAAATTATTGCAAATTACTCTTATCTCTATGCTACAACTTACTAACCTATACTACTAAAGTCTCTTTTACCTGTAATGTTTCAGTGTACTTTATAAAACTGCCTTCTCTTAAAAATGTCCTATTTCCTGGGAACATTCTCACAGTCCAACACAGAATGATATGCACAAGATTACACAGAATGTAAAAAATAAATGAATTTATAGGAAAAGAACATAAGAAAATTCACCAAAATGTGAAGCTATTAATTATCTGGATTGTGAGGTTATGGATTATTTTTCATGTTTATATTTTATATTATATTATATATTGCATTCAGTAATTTCAAGTTTTCTGCACTGAGCATGAATTACTGCTGCTACCGCTAAGTCACTTCAGTCGTGTCCGACTCTGTGCGACCCCATCCCTGGAATTCTCCAGGCAAGAACACTGGAGTGGGAATTACATCTGCAATCAAAAAATTATTTTGCAAAAAAATTAATTTCCACAAATTCAATTTGACTTCCCTTCCTGATCTTTAAATTTCGAGTTAGGAAAAACAGTATCTATTGACTGCCAACTTGATCTCAGGCATGGTGCTAGATGCTTTACATTCAATCGTAAAAACCCTATAAGGGAGTACTAAAGGTCCTCATTTTTGAGATAGAGAACAACTATCACAGTTTTATTTTCTGGAAAAATCATGACATCTCTAGGACACAAGGATATAGATATCTGGAGAAAAGTTAGGGGGAGAGGAGAAGACCTTAAAAATAATTAAAGAGAGTGAAAGAAGAGAAAGGAAATAATGGAGGATAAGGGCATAGGAAATAATAATTTATTCATGGATTCATCAAATATTTAGTTTCAACCATTTCAAGATACTTTGCTGGAGACCACAGGGTATACACAGATGGGTCTGAAACAGATCAAAGAGAACATATGACAGTCTGTCTACATATTAAACATAATACTATTCTGCATTAATGGCACAGCATCCTGTATTAATGGAGCATAATAAAAGTGAGCTAACAGGCTTGCCAACAACTAAAATGAGTCAGGGAAATAAGGGTCATCTGAAAGATTACAGAGTAACTGCAAAGTGAGTTGAGAGGAAGGAGGAATTACTTCTGGGCTTGAGGGATGAAGAGGACAAAGGAGGAGGTAGATGCTTGTATCAGGCAAAGAAGTCTTATCTCTCTCCAGAATGCCAGTCCTGCACTTAGAAGTGTTTACTCAGGACTTCCCTGGAGGTCCAGTGGTTAAGACTTCATGCTTTCAGTGCAGGGTACAAGGGTTCAAACCCTTGTTGGGAAACTAAGATCCCATAAACCAACACAGCAAAAAAAAAAAGACATTAAACAAGTGAGACAAAAATATAAAAGTACTGAAAAAGTGAAGGAAAAATGTGAGAGAGAAAAAGAGATAGAATTTAGCTTGGGTTTAGCAGAAACACCTCTTTGAAGAAATAACATTTCTGAGAAGAGAAAGATGAAAGGGAGTTAGGAAGAGCTGTGACTGTACAGAAAAATTCCCTACAGAGGCAACAGGCTGGGCAAAGAAACTGAGGGATGAAAGGAGTTGGCAAATTAGAACTGAAAGGAAGTCTCTATAACTGCATCCAGGAAAAGAAGGGTGAGTATGGTGGGAAATGAAAGTAGAGAGGGAGCCAGGGCTTTGTAGCTTCTGCTACAAATTCTGAATTGTATTAAAGAAACAACAGTGAAAACAGAGATGCTGCCCTTGCCCTCATGAAGCATACAGCTTAGTGAAGGATACAGACCACTAAACAAATGATTTCAATCTGTCATAAATGTGAGGATAGGGGACATAACGAGTGCTGTGAAAGCACTGAGGAGGGACACTGGATTCAGTCCAAGAGGTATGTTCACTCTCCACTGGGATCACTGCAATCGAGAAGTTATGAGCCTTTAGTGTCTACTCTCCAGCCTAACTTCGCATTGATACCTATCATCTTTCCTTAATACAAATGAGGGCATGTGAAAACCATCCATGGCCCCCCAGAGGATAAATTCCAAACCCCTTGATCTCATATCACTGTTTGGCCCTAACTTTTGTCTTCTTGGTATAAACTCCTACTACTACCTATCACAATAATTTTCAAACTTTAAAAAAAATCAACCTATTGTAGGAAATACATTTCACTAGTACAAACACATATCCACATAAAACACAAGTCTAAAGAAACAATTCAAGTAGGATTACTTTGTTACTTGATAGGTTTTCCTTCCCCTTAAAATGCTGGTTCTGATTTATTCATGACCTGCCAATGGGGCCTGGACAGCAAGCTTACAGTCGTAACTGCTCTCTCCACCATTACCTTCTCAACCCACCTCGGACAAAGTCTGTTCTCTCACTGTTTACCAAAGCAGTCCTGGATGCAAGAAGTGCCTTGCCTTTCCTTCTCCATTTCTCATTCACCTAGCAACTTCCTTCTGATCTTTCAAGACTTTGCCCAAATACTACTTCTTCAGAGGAGCCTTTGCAGATACCACCCCAGTCATCATGCTTCCATATTAGAGGTCCCAGGGGATAGTACTCCCTGAGTGACAGCACTTGTCATATACGGTTGTGTTATAACTTACTTTTAAACACAGGTTAGCCTGCTCTGGACTAGGTTTCTGAACGTCAGGAACCTCACTGTCTTATCTCAGGCCCCAAATAGGGTCCGATCTGAAGCAAAGGTCAGGGGATGTTATGCTGAAGTAAATGAAAACTAATACCATACCCTTCCCATACCGTCGCGATCTTGGCTGTGCACCGACAAACTAGTTTTCTATCTGTTCTTCAAACACAGCAAGGTCTTCCCTCCCTCGGAGCCTCACTGCGCCACTGTTCCCCCAGCGTTTCTCCGGCGGGCTGTTCCTATTCAAACATATATCCATAGTCTACCCTCAGAGAGGCTGTCTGCCCAACCTCCCATCACATTTTCTTTGTCTTTAAGGCATTTTGTTGTTGTTGACCACATGGACTGTAGCTCGCCAGGCTCCTCTCTCCGTAGAATTTCCTAGGCAAGAATACCGGACTACTCTCTGGAATTATTTTGTTTGGTCTGTTGGTTTATTTATCTAGCTTTCTCATGACAATATTACTTTTTGGGAGACGTGGTCTCCCGAGTTTCTCCCCAATAACTTCAGCACCTAGAACAGTGCAAGGCGCACAGCAGGCGCTCCACAAAACATCTGGTGACGAACGAGCGAGTGGAAGAGGAAGCAAACGCAGACACTGATGTCTTAGGGACCTGCCTTGAAGCCTCCTAGACTCTGGAACCTAGAGGGTTCCCTGGCTGAGAGGGAGACGATTGAGGCGCCCAGGGGCCACGTTTCAGAGCCTACCAGTAGTAAGTGACTGTGCAAGCCCCGCACACCCGCTCGGCCGGGGCTTCGCACACCTCACAGCACAGCCGGCGCCCCTTGGGCACCGCCAGAGGGTAGATCACGTTCATGCCGCGGCAGACGGTGTTGTCAGTCTCTAGGACGGTTGCCCGGCCAGGACACACCGGACAGTGGTGTCACGTGACCGACACGGCGCCGCCTCATCCCCGGCCTTTCGAGGGGAAGGACGTGTGGCTTGACTGACAACTTGGGAGTGCGTTTGTAGGTTTTTTTTAAAAAATGAAGGACAAAAATAAAAGCCAAGCCACTCCTCCACCCCTCCCCATCCCGCACCGCTCCAATTCCAAAGGTTAAACAGCCGGGCAATCAAATTTTTGGCCGGGGTCCGAGCCTAGCAGGGTCTGTACGGTGGCCGATAAGGATCAAACACGGCCGTTCCGTCACTCAGGCTAGGAAACTAAACAAGGGGGTGTGCCTCTCAGCCGAGAACTCAAGTGTCAGACTCGCAGGGTGCAGGGCGGAACCAACTCGTATTTCCAGACCAGCGGAAACCCTGCGCGGACGTCCAGCGCACCGTAGCCAACCGCCCAGTGACTACTGCGGCTGCGCGCGGGCCAGGTAAGGGGACAGGGGGCGTGGCGCCGAAGGACCTAGAGTTTGCGCAGACGCGGGGGCGCTTCGGGACTGATGGCGGCCGTGGACCTGGTTGCCGAGTTTCCCCAGCCCGCCGGTGTTGCGCGCTGGGCAGAGGTTATGGCTCGCTTCGCCGCCCGGTTGGGCGCGCAGGGCCGACGGGTGGTGTTGGTCACTTCTGGCGGCACGAAGGTCCCTCTGGAAGCCCGGCCTGTGCGCTTCCTGGACAACTTCAGCAGTGGGCGGCGCGGTGCTGGCTCGGCCGAAGCCTTCTTGGCCGCGGGCTACGGCGTCTTGTTCCTGTACCGCGCGCGCTCTGCCTTCCCCTTTGCCCACCGCTTCCCGCCCCAGACCTGGCTGGCTGTTCTGCGGCCCTCCGGCCAAGCGCCTTCGGGCTTGCTGAGCCTGGAGGCCGAAGAAAAAGCACTCCCGGGCTTCGCCGCAGCTCTGCAGAGCTACCAGGAGGCTGAGGCTGCCGGCACTTTTCTGGCCATAGAGTTCACCACTTTGGCAGACTATTTGCATTTGCTGCAGGCTGCAGCCCAGGCTCTCAACCCACTAGGTGCGTGCCTTTAGGAGTTCATCGGATGTCAGGAGGCAGAGCCTTTACCCCTAGACACATAGCCCCTTACTATATACCCAGGGCTCTCACAGCGGAGGAACCTGAGTTGAAAAGGAGCTGACTCCATACACTTCTCTGATTTATTACACTCTGTACTTCTTTTTTCAGGTTCTTCTGCGATGTTTTACCTGGCTGCGGCCGTGTCAGATTTCTATGTTCCTGCCTCTGAAATGCCTGAACACAAGATCCAGTCATCTGGGGGCCCACTGCAGGTGATGGGCGCTTCTCTTCCAGAGATCTGATTTCCTATAACCAATCTTGGGTTAATTTCCTTTTGATCTGGAGATGGCCTTTCTGCATTCCGTATGTGCTAGGCACTAGGGATACAGAGATGAATAAGACACCGCCCTCCCTCAAGAACCTCACAATCTGTTGAGGTTGCTGGACACAGACATAATTACAGTACAGAGTGATAAATGCTCTAGTAGAGGTACGTACAAAGTGAAGTCAGAGCGTGGGGTGAGTGAATCTTGGGGAAAGTCAAGGCTTTCTGGAGGAAATGGCTTGAACTGGGTTTTAAAAGATGAGCAGAAGGTGTACCAGACCAAGGGAAGATCATTCCAGATAGAGAACACAATTGGAGCTTAAAAGTGAGCATTGTGTTGTGAACTGACATCGTCGGGTAAAGCTGGAGAGTGGTGAGGGTGGAGGGCAGACTGAAGGGACAGCTTCCTTCATAGAAAATTTTGTGTTCCTTTTTAAGGAGCTTGAACTTAATCCTTTGGAGCCAAGGGAAACCTAAGAGAATGAGATAAAGTTTTTGTTTGTGAAGAACATTCTGGCATCATTGTGAAAGGTGAATTAGAGAGAGTGGTGGGGGCAGATTAGATGGTGGTTATTGTTGCAGTTTAAGGAGAAGGTATGGGGAGGGTAGTGGTGTGGTGAAGATGCTGAAATCATCTGGCTTCTTGGAACCTGAGGGAATTCTTAGTCTTTTATTGGGTGATACAAGTAGGATTTAAATAGGAGAAACTACCTGTGGAGCACTTGCTGATTCTGTGGGACAGTTCATTTTTTCATTTCTTCAACAAATGTTTATTGAGTACCTACTATATGCCAGGCACTATTCTAGGAGATAAGGCAATGAAAAGAAACATATTGTGCCCTGGTTTTGCTTATTCTCTGCAGAGGCAAAAAGTAAGTCAAATGCATACTATATTAGGTAATGATAAATTCTAAGGAGAAAAGTAAAATGGGGAATGGGTATGTGATCCCTGTCACTCTTGCTAACTCTTTGAGGGAAAATTCTGATGATTAGCTTAGTGATTTCACACTTTTTAAATTCTGGGAACCTTACTTTATCCTGTAATTCTTAGTTCTGTCTTGTACTTGAAAGTACACAAAACAACTCTACATTCCCCTTAAAAGGGATTGAGAATGATATTGTGGTATTGATGAATAAAAATAAAATCTGTTCTGTTTCCTCAGTGCTAAGATGTTACAAATGACAGTTTTTTTCTTTTAATGACAGTTTTTTAATGGAATCAAATAGCCAGTCCACCAGTGGAAGAAATATTTTAGACTGAGAGATTTAAAAACTCAACCTTGAGCTTCTGCCAGAGTAACATTTGTATAAACAGATTATTTGTATTTGTTTGTTTGAGGGTTTGGTTTAAAAAATATAAAGGGAATGTTTGAGAAAATGTAATGCTATTTTTTCAGTTTTATTTATGGTAATGAGGGTTGCAAGGCAGGGCTAATTCATAAGATGTGGTTTGCCCCAGAATATGCATGAAGCTTTGAAATCAGGCATCCTTATGAACCCTACAAAGGCAGGACTTTTAAGTAAGCATTTAATACGCTTTAAAAAGTTTGGTAGTGAGAAAGCCTACTGAGCCAAACATCTGAGTCCCTGCTTCCTTAATTTCCTTTGAGATTGACCTGGCTGGTAGGTAGTAACCTTGTTTTCTTACTAAGATTCTCTTTTTCCAATACAGATAACAATGAAGATGGTGCCAAAAATGCTTTCTCCTTTGGTTAAAGACTGGGCTCCCAAAGCATTTATAATTTCCTTTAAGTTGGAGACTGACCCCTCCATCATAATTGATCGTGCACGGAATGCTTTAGAAGTTTATCGACATCAAGTGGTGGTGGCTAATATCCTTGATTCACGACGATCTTCTGTGGTTATTATAACCAAAGACTCAGAGACCAAGTTACTGTTATCAGAGGAAGAAGTAGAAAAAGGCATAGAGATAGAAGAGAAGATAGTGGATGATCTTCAGTCTCGACATACTGCTTTTATACATGACAAAAACTGAGGTAAAAAGCCTTTATTTATAGGATCAAAAATTGTTCAGTGGACCAGGGCCCTCATAGGTGGCGAGAAGTAGAATAAATCCTTTGCTTTCATAAAGACAGAAAATGAAGGGGGAAAGCAGTGAGTGGTGGGCAGGCTAATGTGGCTTGGCATCTGTCTTTTAAAGATCTTTCAGTACTCAAAAAATGAAAGCAAAGGCAAATCGGTTACAACCGAACCACCTGACAAACTCACCTGAATGTTATCTTGATTTTGAGAATGACTAGCTGTTTCTCAGCTTAAAAAAAAAAAGCTTATTGGGTATCATATTCCTCAAAATACACCTGTGGGGCCTGAATATCAGCCTTCTTCACACTATAAAAAGGATGATGGATGCCTGAATGGCCATGCTTATTTTGTTGATACTTACTATGTGGTAGGCCCTGAGGATTTTGAAGATTCAAAGGTGAATTGTTCTTCAGTCGCTAAGTTGTGTCCAGCTCTGTGACCCCATGGACTACAGCATGCCAGGCTCCCCTGTTCTTCACTATCTTCCAAAGTTAGCTCAAAAAGATGAATAAACATGTCTAGTTTGGGAAATGGGTATGTAAAAATTAAGTACAATAAAGTATGTGCCCCAAAATCAATAAATGATGTTGTTTTTTGGAAATTTAGTAAAAACGGGGGTAGGCGAGAAGGACACCTCCCCAAAGATAGATTAGCTGTAGATTGATGATTATCCTACTACATTTACTTCTTGCTTCTTGTTCTAGACTCACTTCATATTTGAGTTAAGAATTTACCTTTGAAATATTTTATAACTGCTCTTGTGGGAAAGTTAAGATGGAGGCCAGGCGGGACCCAGTTGGTGACCACTGATGTGAAGGAGATAAAGAGTATGGGTTTTGGAGTTGTCTTAGCCAGATTTCACCCTTCCAGCTGTGCCACCTATTCACTTTGTAAACTTAGATACCTGACTTAAGCTGAAGTTTCCTCATCTATAAAAAGGTGGTAATTTTTCTGCAAAGTAACACCATTTGTTGTGGGGATTAAATAAATAAAATGGTGCCGGTAAAGCAAGAGTCTGGCATTTGACACATAATTTGCACAGTAAGTGGTTGCAATTGCTAATTTTCTCACTTAGCAAGGCAGTGTTACTGCTGGTGCCCTGCTTGATTCCTGAATCCTTGAGAAGTTTTCAAAGCTCTCACTGTCCTGGGCTTTGGGTTGGGAGTGCAAAATAAGTAGACCAGAGAAGTACCCTCAGTGATCCATAGGATGGTCCAGAATGCAGTGTAAAAACTGTCATTAAGAACTAGGTATAAAAAAGTACTTGACATAAATGAGTTAAAATGCAATTCATGGAGTGTGTTGGGAAGAGTAGTGCAATGTATCTGTCTGATAATAGAAGTATAATAAACTTTGAGATGTGCACATAAGTGCCAAGATACACCTAAATATGTCATCAGATCAGGATATGTGACTTCATTAAATCAGGAAGCAGGAAAAGTAACTGCAGCAATCAGGACTTCTCTGGAAGCAGCAATCCCATTGAACAAAAATCTTAAATTAATTTCTGATCCAAATAGCAAAATCTAAAGAGCAACATACTGTAGACAGTGGCTGCAGTACTAAAGGAGCATGAAGTAAAAGATTGACTTCTTCCCTCCTCTACATCTGTAGGTTCATGTGGATGATGGCTGTCATTATCTTTGAATGTATAATGAGGATAAATGGAGCTAGAACTAAAAGTGATTATAATGTTTGTTTTTATTAATATCATTACTCCCCTTGGGAACCATTTTCTATTTTGTTAATGCTTAAAAACAACCTCCATTACTCTAAGTTGGATTGTTTAGCGTGTTTTCCAGTTCAGTTTCATTTGCATTCAGAGCATGTAAAAATTCCAAGAGGTGGTTTTTTTAGTCAGCAAATGGGAATGTGTGAAGAAAGGAAGAAAACTAAGAATGAGGGAGTTCCCTGCTGGTTCAGTGGTTACGATTTGGTGCTTTCACTGCCATGGCCCAGGTTCAGTCCCAAGCCAGGGCACAGCCCAAAACAAAAAACTAAGAATAAAAAGGAACATAAGTCAATAAGAGCAAATAAGAAGGATCCTGAATCTAAATTGGAGGACTAAACAATGTATCCCTGAGGAGAAAATGACGCTTGAACTGTTAAAAGTGGGCTGGGGGAGATGGTGGTGAGCATTTTAGATCAGAGGGGAAAAAAACACTTGAAAGAGCTCTGGTGCCAGAGGGAGAGTTTAGAAAGTCTAAGGGATAAGATCTGTCCAGATAATGCATGTAGAACTGGCAAAGCTTTGGAAAGGAGCCTGTGAGAAACTAGAATAAGGTTAAGAAATGTTAAGTGTATGTTCGGGATACCAGAAAAGCATGGGCCCCAAAACATGAATAAAATCAAGTTTAGGTAAACTAGAATCTTGCACTAAGAGCGTTTAAATGAAGAGCATATAAACCGGTCCTTTGTTAAATGTTGTGTCTTTTAGATATTTTTATTTTGCCTTACATAGGTAGAGAATACGGTTCGCGAAAACCGAATTTTCAGTGCTTAGGACTTCTAAAGGACTTTAGGAATAGTTGTAGTCAAGTTCGGTTTCGTCATTTTTACAATAACAAGCGGGTTCCAAAAGTGTTGTGATTTGTCTTAGGTGCCCCACGCAGGTAATGAATGACGAGTCCTGACCTAAAATTCAGAACCCCTGACCTAGCTCCCCCCGCCCCCCTTTTAAGAATGAAATTGCTTCTAGAAAATTTAGTCCAAGTTTGTTAGACTGGGGCTCTAGATAAAGTTTGGCAGGAAGCTGAGAACTATTAATGCCCTGTGACAGAACTTGAAGTTGCAAATAGGCGCCACGACGTTACCATGGTTACTGCAGAGCCGTTGGGAAGAGCCGTGCCTTCGTTACCGCGGGGCTAACCCAGAGAGTGGTCTGCGCCGTAGCAATCATCTCCGGCAGGAAGCGCAGCTCCTGAGCCAATGGCGCGCGTCGTTTCTATGGTTGCCGCCGGAAGGCCTGGCGTCTCCGCGGCGAGCGCGGTTGCTATGACGCCCGGGACTGAGCAGGCACCTGCCGCTCGCACCCTGGCGGCCCCGAACCCTCACGGCGCTTTCCAAGAGACAATTTACGGCTTGGTTCCTGAGGTTCCCGCCGCAGCCCCAAGGAAGAAAGCAGCTATTCTTCGCTCTTTTTCAGCATTCCAGGCCTTTCCCGGCAGGGCCCCAAACGACAGAAGAGCCTCACCTGGCTTGGCCTTTCTAGCCGCGGGTTGGAGGGATTCGGCCTGAGAATAGATTGGTCGGTTTCCCGGGACCCACCCGTCGCAGGCCCTTAGAATTAGGCTGCTGCTTTTCTTTAAAGAGAGTTTAGAATACTCAATCTGTTTAAGTAGGCGTTCCTTTGCTCACTTTCCAGGCGAAAAGTCACCCCTACTCAGAGACTGCGCGTGAAGGTAGGGGCCATGACAAAGTCCACCGAGCTACGGCATCCTCTGAGCGTCGGCCTGTGAACAAAGAACTGCTGTTTCCTCCCTTTTGCCGTTTGTTCGTCATGCAGAACTTTAATTCCTGATGAAGCTCTGGAGGCCCTTTGTATCCTCAACATCAGACGTCATCAAGTCAGTTACCTTCTGCCTTTCAAGCTACAACCTCATCCACTTCTCTCATTACCCTGAGCGTCATTTTTTTCATCCTGATCATTGTACAGCCATTCTCACCCCTTCTTGTCCATACTGCACATTCCTGAATGTTCATTCGTCTCCATCACCTCTGTTATCTCTACACCCCCTCCTTCTTTCCTGCTACAATGCTTTGGGTAACTAAGCATTTCACATTCTCCAGCCCTGGAATCATTTGGAAGATTTTCTTTGTGTCTCTGTACTACGGCAAGCTTTCTGTCTTGAGTAAACTCGAGACGAAAATGGAAAAGCATATATTGGTAAATACAAACAGTAAATTTATACAAGTCTAGTGTGTTTTGAAAATGGAGGAGAAAAAAATCCAAATGTATTTTTGGACTTATCTCAGTTTTATTTAAAGAAAGAAGATGTTTCTCCTTAAGTGTATACTGTTTTAGGCATTCATTTTAGTGACGCATTCACGTATGTGAAAAGATCATTCAGAATGATCATCCTACAACTTCAAGTCTGTATGAACTCAACACCATGACAGGATAGAATTTTCAGGAAAGGAGATGCTTGGAACAATTCTTGTGCCTGCTCTTCATGATAGTTCTTAATCGGAAAACATTCCTTGTGATATAAGATAAGAAACAAAAACAGGAGGAATGATTGAAAATAAATATTTTTGGCAAGGGGGCAGGCTTAAAAGTCCTCAAAAGATTGGAAAAGAGGCTGTAAAAGTAGAATATGATTTCTTTAGATCCAGTGCAATTGTAATTGAGCTTGGAAAACTTTAATTTGTCTTAAAATATGTGTTTCTTGTTGAGTTTTACTATTTTATATATATAAAGTTATTTTGAAGATATGCAAAGTGTACATTTAAATGGGTATTTGTGGGGATAGAATGCTTTAGATATTTTTATTTCTCAGACTAATTTCATCAGTTATTTGTGATGGTCATGCTCAAAGCCAAGTCAAGTGTCCACATACTCAGAAATTCAGCTTTCTCTTCTATAATAGATTGGAGAAGAAAAATGAGTTCTGTGACTTTTTAAAACTTTTCATATTAAATGAGAACTGAATAAATTTTAATTCTTGGTAATAAGCACTGTTAGATGCTATATGTTAAGGGGTTTTCTTTTCCCTTTCCAGTATATATTTATTAAACAAACATCATTATGGCAATATTAACATAAAATTCAAAAAACTTTCCTCTTACCCCTAGCCTAGTGCTACTAAACCTTGGATGGGGCAGCGGAGGGGAGGATTTTGCTCCCTAAGAAACATATGGCAATGGATGGAGACATTTTTAGTTGTCACAACTGGTGATATATAACTGGCATCTAGTTAGTAGAAGCCAGAGATTCTGCTCTCCATTCTTCTGTCCACAGAACAAGAAAGAATTTCCCCACAAGAAAGAGTTAGCCAGCCCTGAGTGGCTGGCTGAGTCTGACAGCAGTGCTAAGGTTGACATATCAATAGTTCATTGTTCTGTTCTGTGTCAATCCTTGCTCATGTGCATATGTTTTTTACATAGTTACAGTGGACATTTGCTTCTCTATTTCACTTAATTTTGTATTTTAAGTGTTTAAACATTGCTATGTTGTTCTCAACATTTTAAAAGTATTTTTCTCCTTATTTTATTTGCAAATTGAAAAGAAAAAACTGTATAATGGATACTGTATTTAAAACATTTGTATGTTTTAAATTATATTTGTGTAGGAAATATGTGTAGAAAGAAGGGCTAGGATGAATAACCTAAGTGAATTTCTCAGTTTTCACGGCCATACTCTTTACTGTGTTCCCTTATGTCACTCAAAGACCAGGTCACAGGCTCATCCTTTGTTCAGCGCCAGGAGATACGCTGTAGCATGAGGTATGGTCCTGGACCCTGCCCTGTAGTTGGAAGGCACCTACTGCAGCACTAAGAGCAAATCGAAATGACTGCACTCATTCTTTTGTCCTCTTCCCATTTAAAATCCTTTGCCTCTGTCTCAGTTTGCTCTTACCACCTCGTTCTTTACATCTAGAAGTTTTTAGAAGCTCCAAAAACACCACCGGATGTACTTTTTTCCAGACCGTGACTTTTTAAGATACTTAATGAGCATGTATTCAGTATCTCCTTTTAAAGAATAGTATGCGTATATACTTTGTTATGTGGGCAGCTTTAGGCACAGTTTAGATGTCAGAGCATTTAGAATTCAAAGAATGAATTTATATTACCTCAAGATCTGCTTTTTTATAAGTTTCAAATTACTCAACCATCGGGACTCAGTAAATCCATCGGGAAAATGTTAGTTCTGGGATGTCAGAGCAGAACAGGCAGAAGGGCCCAGGATTCCAGGCAGAGGGACCTAAATATTCAGAGTCATGTAATGAGCAGCATGATCAGTCCATACACTGGCATGAAGGGCTGTCAAGGTGTGGCAGAAGATAAGAGACATGCAGGGCTCATGTTGTGAAGACTCTGGTGCCAAGCTGAGGATCCAGACTTCCTGAAAACAATGGGAATGTTAAGCAGCAAGTGATTAGCATTTACAACGGTCAGTCTGAGAGCTTTATAGAGTACAGCCTGGATGGGGGCCAACCCGGCAGCAAGAAAATCAGTTAGGGACACTGTTACACCAAGTTGGGCAAATGATGAGGTGAGGCTAAACTAAGAGGATTAATTAGAAAATGATCAAAGAGATGGAATCCACAAGTGCAGGGACTGGTTGTCCATGAGAGTGGGATGAATAAGGATAGGCCAAAGATGACTCCCAGATTTCTAACTTGGGAAACCATATTGATAGTGATTTAATTAACTGGGATACAGATGGAAGACCAAGTGTTAAGAAAGATGAGTGGATTTTTCAAACTGAGTTGTACACTTGAGAGTTGGATATGCATTTGATCTTAACTAGTAGATTCATTTGGAGAAGGAAATGGCAGCCCACTCCAGTATTCTTGCCTGAAGAATCCCAGGGACGGTGGAGCCTGGTGGGCTGCGGTCTAAGGGGTCGCACAGGGTCGGACATGACTGAAGCGACTTAGCAGCAGCAGCAGTAGATTCATTTTGTATTGCCTTCTTGCCTACATCCTCTGCCCTGGAACTTGTAATTTTCTGCCAATCCTTGCTTAAAGGTTAGGCTTGGTGGCTGTATTTTTATCCCTACTTCCCACCTATCCTAGCCACAGCTGACTGAACAAGGAATATTGTACAACTAACTTTGGAGAGAGGAGAGAAATTCATGGGGTTAGCAACAAATAATGTCTCTCTTTCATAAATTTGAACTAAAAGGGATAGATAAAAGAAAGACTTAATCTGAAAAGTTACATAGGTTTAGGACTAAGATGACTGTTTTTAGCTTTGCTGATGAGCACACAGAGAAAGTCCATCCATGTGGAAAAGTAAGTAAATGGGAGCAGGTTCATAGGGAAACGCACAGGCAAAAGACCTTATGGGTCAGGATAGACTAGCAATGACTGTCTATTTCCATGTCCATCTTCCATGTAACTAGGTTTCAGTTCAGTTCAGTTGCTTGGTGGTGTGCAACTCTTTGCAACCCCATAGACTGCAGCACGCCAGGTTTCCCTGTCCATCACCAACTCCCAGAGCTTGCTCAAATTCACATCCATTGAGTTGGTGATGCCATCCAACCATCTCATCCTCTGTTGTCCCCTTCTTCTCCTGCCTTCAATCTTTCCCAGCATCAGGGTCTTTTCCAATGAGTCAGTTCTTTGCATCAGGTGGCCAAAGGATTGGAGCTTCAGCTTCAGCATCAGTCCTTCCAATGAATATTCAGGACTGATTTCCTTTAGGATGGACTGGTTTGATCTCCTTGTTTGCAGCATATGCACTTCTATCTTATTCTTCCAATAACCCTCCTAAGTAGTTGGAATTGGTCAGCTGTAAAGGCCAGAAAACTCAAAATAATAATGGCTTGAAAAATAGAAGTCCATAAAAGTCAAGAAGCAAGCACCCCAGAACTGATAGGGCAGCATTTTGAAATTGCTGAAGGTTCAGATTTCTACTCTCATGATAGTATATCATCCATGGCCTGTGGCTTCCACATCATGGTGTCCAAGATGGATGCTCAAGCTTCAAACTACCTTTGTCTGCATTCTGGCCAGTGGAAAGAAAGAGGATGAGGCCATCCTTTTCCTTTAAGGACATTTGCTAAACTAGGTGGCCCACAATTCCATTTACATCCTGTTGGTCAGAACTTAGTCACATGGATGTATCTAGCAGAAGGCAGGCATCCTTGTGACCAGTCCAAAAAAAAAAAAAAATCTTATTTCTGCAGGAAAAAAGAATACAAAATCATCAATCAATTAAATAGTTATTTTAAAAAGAACATATATTGAAGGAAAACTGGCAATTTCTGCTACATTTACTTATTTATATTTGTTCTAACTTCAGTGTATTTGTTTCTTGCCAATTTTTCTAGATAGACCTGGTGCTTAGCAGAGATGGATTATTGTTTAATTCTCCTAATAACCCAATGAGATTGGCATTACTATTATATCCATTCTATTTGGGGGCAATCAAAGTTTAAAGAAGTTAGATGACTTGTGTTAGTCACATGACTAGAAAGTGGTGGAGCCAGGATTTGGACCAAGGCATGTCAGACTCCCCTGCCCGAGCTGTTCATCACCATGATAGTAAGAAGGGCGGAGAGCCAAAGGCAGGGTTCTTAGGAATGGTGGCGTTTGACGTGTCTGTTAAAGAGCCTAGGAAGAAGACAGGAAAGGCAAGGCCAGGGAGGTAAGAGTGAAAACAGGAAAAGTGACATCACAGAACAGAAAGGAGTGGACAGATACCACTCCTAAAAAGAGTAGAAACATAGCCAGTTGAATTTGGCATTTTGAGGGTTGTTGCTGAATGAGAGTATGAGTACAGTAGTAAGAGCAGAAGCCAAAGGCTGTGACTTGAGAAGGGTAAGATAGATTAGAAAGAGGACAGTAACTTGAGAGGGGGATATGGTAGGATCAAAGGAGAGTTATTTTATACCTTTATTTTTACCATCAAAGACATCTTAACCTAAGGACATGACATCAGTTGAGAGGGAGATGGTGAGCCAACAGAAAAGAAAAAAGAAGCAATCCGAGATGGGATCTGGAACACAGGTCAAGGGATTTGCTTTGGACAAGAGAATGGAAAAACTCTTCCTCTGAGAAAGGAAAAGGAGCAGGATCTCTAAAAATGGTGGTTAGTGTATTGGTGGTCATCGAAGAAGCTGACAGCTTTATGATGGCCTTAGTTCTTACTAGTGCTGTGGGAGACATGGTCATCTGCCAACAGAGGGAAGAGGTGAGGCTTGGAGTTTGATGGGAG